TTCGCTAAGGCCCTTCGTGAAAAGCTTCCTCTCAAGAGCCAAGCTGGTATCCCCAGTGAAGTTAGAAGATGGTCCGAGTTTATCGGTGGTAAACCCGTTTAAATACAAACCTGTTTTAAAACGTCTATAATGTGGACGAATATTGTGGTTTGAATTTAAATTGATGTGTTTATGTATTTACAACTTGACTGGCAATCTCGAATTGATTTCGAGTGTCGGTTGCGGTATCTATAGATTATTGATTGTTTTATTTATTTATTTAGTTTCTTTTTCACCTTTTGCTTTTCTTATATTATTATCTTATCAGGTTTACTTTATGTATCATTAATGAAAGTTATATTTCTTTTTCAGCAATTTCCTCAATTATTATGCTGCCACTGTCATGGTTGAATATTTACTTATGATTTGGGAGTTTCTAGTTGAGTTTACCCAGCTGGCGGCGACCTACATCCAGAAAATCAGATGCTACAAAAGACTTGCTAGCGAAAGCTTGAAATTCTCCTATTCGTCAAAGAACTATTAAAGTACACGAAAGATTTAATACGAAATGGAGGCCGAATCCCTAAATACTAGTTCTACTTTTAATGTCCGAGCTCTCTACGGTGGTGCTATTCAAACAGTGATCCCCGAAGATTTTCTCGATGCATCCGAGTTTCGTCAAGTCCCTGACACCCAAGAAGTCTTTGTGTCCGCGGCATCGGGTGCAAATGGTGTAGATGACAGTCTTATCTTTGATTTATTAGAGATGGCTCGTGATGATGCGCCCACGCTAGAGAAGCTCGATTTGGAACTACATATTAGTGACCTGGCTGAGGCCAATGCCGTACCGAACCAGTGGACGTTGGGGCTAGTTGAGTCGGTTGCAGTTGATGTGAATGGCGAGGGAAAGGATAATGAAATTGAAAAAGCATTGGTGGGTACCTGCATTATGCCTGCTCATAAGTGGGGTCGTAGCGAGAGAAAAGATATCGAAGGTGATAGCGTGGACGTAGATCGTCTGAGTCCAACGCCTTTGTTGTTGGTTGTTTTAGGTGTTTTGCGATTGAAGGAGTTCACCACCGATGTCGTAGTTTCGTTTAATGTTCCTTTAATTTTCCGAGATGATATCGAGATGTTTAAAAACGGCGACGGGATACCCCGTGTGGAAGCTGCTAATATTGCTGTGAAGAAGTCCCTCGAAGCCTTTCGTCTTCTAAATAAAGGCCTTTTTGGTGCTTAATATGGCTTGAATAATTAAATTAGTATGACATAGTTTTTCATGGATTATTGTTATATTAGTATAGTAAATTGTTATACCCAGGCTTATATTGGTATTAATATATTCAAATGTTGAACAAAAGTTGCTTTTACAACAATTATCAAGAGCCCTCCTCTTCAAGCTATGTTGGGCAGAAGAGTTATTTAGGTTTAAAGATAAACTTGGCCAACCAAAGGCATTTGGTTAAATTTGATTTAGAAAATTCAAGTAAGTGTGCTTACAAGAGTTTCGAAAAACGAAATTACATAAAATTGTATGTGAAGCTATAAATTTTCAGGTTTTGTATTGAACAGGAGATAAAGATACTACGAAATGTTAATCAACGGAATATGCTTGCCATTTTTCTTCATAGGACGAATTCAACCCGTTTACACATGAACTCAGTTTCTGCTATCGAATAAAATAGTTTAAAATAAAAAAGTCACACAGCTTTGCCCGTAAACATTAATCTTGCGGTCAAAGAATGATATAAAAAAGGTTGATTAGTTGATTTAGTTTCACAAACCCCGTGTAATATAACAAGGGCGTCTGGTGTAGTTGGTTATCACATGCGCTTAGCATGCGCGAGGTCCCCGGTTCGATTCCGGTGTCGTCCATTTTTGTTGTCTCTCTAATAAGACTATCATTTTTCTAGCGGACATACTTTTTTTATCATTATGGCACTATTTTTATGATAGTCAGCTATAAATTTTTTTTATCTCTTGATTTATGTTCTAGTGGCTCTCGACTTCTACGCTGTGAAAGGCCTTGAAGAAATCTGCTACTATCTACTCTCTAGGATATGACCATTAATCGTATATACTTTGAGGGATTTGGCTCTTTTTATTCACAGGGGTCAACAAAGTATCACCGAAACACACTGGAAGAGAGAAAAATAATTATCCTAGACATGGCACATTACCCATACCTTGATAGTAGATCAATATACATTCTTGTAGCCTCGTACCAAACTATAGAAGAATATTTAGCTAGCAAGAGGAAGCCTTGAAAATAATAAGGGATATTGTTCGGGAAAACCGGACTTACTCTATATTAGGTAGTATTATATGTGCAGAAGAGTTATAATATAACATCTATCTTGTTAGCCATCAATATAAGCAATACCCAGTTACTTTTAGCTGTAGTTATTTGTGTTCTTCAAGCACTTTGAAAGTCCTGCAACACAGCTGACTTAGCCGAGGCGATTTAGCCTACAAACCCGCCTACCACATGGATAAAACCAAGCAGTCTTCGGTACGAAAATTTGCCTTGATCTGTGAGGAAAAAAACAGAAAAAACGATCGTCTAAATTCGGCGATGACCTATCCGATGGTTTACCGGAATATCGCTCCGTTTTCAAAAGCGCGGGGCTTCGCAAAGTGTGTCTTGACTCGTGAACAAATCGCTAGGCAACATACTCGAGCAAAAATATGATATATAAAGAACATTCTTAAGCCAGAATCCCGCCATTATACGTTACTAGCTAAGCATAAACACTTTTTAACAGCACATACGGCTGGGGAAACCCCAAGATCTATTTTCTACCAGTCAAGGAAAATTCTGACAGCTCCAGTTCGTATTCAGAGTTCAAAATTGGGTTTATCCTAGGAACTTTACATTTGGCTCAAATAAGAATCAAATGATATTCCATGTTCCGCTTTATTTTACATTACTTACTCGACTTGGCCGTGCTAGGTACAACTTTAAGATTTAGATATTACCAAGCTGGTACCACCAAAATAGGCCGAAGCCTAATATTAAGCCAGATTTGGTTCCTTCTACTTTTTTATTTTGGGTTCAAGATGCTCAATCCGCATAAATCCATGCAGTACCAAACAAACCCCATAACCGAGTTTACCTAAGGTGCAGCTAAAATATATGATCTACGGTCTTCGTATCAATAAATCTTTGTCTAAAACCAAGTCAAAGACAAGTTCAAATTTGTTTCTAGACAGTTTTTCGCCAGTATATAGAATAATTTTATTTGATACTATTTTACTTCAGTTTTTTCAAAAATAATGGGAGACAGCGTTTTGTCTAGGTCGCCCTTTCACTCTTGAATCCCGAATATGCTACTTCAACGCTAACAATATTGAAATTCGCTTTCTAACAATAAGAGAAATCTTTAGACGCTGGGCTTGATGTTCTAATTTTTCCATTCAGCATATTAGTTGCTGTTTCAAATAGGGTTTCCAGATCCTTTTGAGGCCAGTATTACCTCCTCGCTACGACGTCAGATCCCAGATATACTACTAAACATGCGGTCTCATGGTGCGTGCCAATAACTAGATATATGCCCTTAAACCCAGTAAAAGAGGATGTTCTATAATAATTTCTTTCTCTTTTCTCCATTTTTTCTCCATTTTATTTTATATTACATCTCATCAATTATGAAAAAATAAGAAAAATAATGGAACAATATATATAGAAGTTCATATGCCAATAAGAAATTATTTTGCATTTCTTATATAATCAAATCATCAATTTACCCTTTGTAATAGAAACCTACCATGTCTCCAGTACCAAAAGCCCTTGGCTGATGACAATTTACTTGATTTTTCTAATAAAGATTCTTCGCTAGACGCAAAGATGCGTTTAGTTAATCATGCTATTAATGAGATTGGTTTCACTAGATACCACATTAAGCCATTTTGTTTAAATGACTTAGGTTATGCTGTAGATTCCTGATTTATTCTTATTCAATCTCTTATTAGGTCACATGTCGATAGAGAATTAGGTACTAATTTTCCTGGTGTCACCGTCGCCATTTACGTCTGATTATTAGTTGGTGCCACTTTCTGGGACCTTAGTGCTGATATTATGGGTCGTAAGTTTGCTTTCAATGTCACCTTATTTTTAGCCTCACTTTGGTCTATCGTAGCCGGTGCCGCTCCTAATTACATTTCATTATGTAAATTCATTGCATTGATGGGGTTTTCTGCTGGCGGTAACTTAATTCTTGATACAACAGTTTTCATCCAATTCATTCCCTCCAACAGGCAATGGTTTCTTACAGCTATGGCAGCCTGATGGGGTGTAGGACAAACCACCGCTGCGTTGGTAGCTTGACCTTTCTTAGCTAATTTTTCCTGTAATCCCGATGCTGCTATCTGTTTAAGAGCAGATAATATGGGCTGAAGATACACTTGGTTCACCTTAGGCGCCCTTGTTTCGCCATTTCTATTCTTCGTGGTACAGTTACCCGTTTGGCTGAAACCCCCAAATATTCTTTTTCCAATGGAAATAATGAAGTAATTGAAACCCTTAATACTATGGCGAAGAGCTCTGGACGCACATTCTCACTCACTATTGAAGACCTTAAAGCCTGTGGTGACTCAAATAATTTCGTGAATGGCAATAAAACTACTCAACTTTAAAAGTGTAAATATTCTTTGTCCTGGGCCCTAGTCAGTTTAGCCTGCCCCTTTTACTATGTTTTCTTACCTGTATACATTCAAAGCCGTCGAACAGATTCTGTTGATGGTTCCATAAACACTACCTTCAAGAATAAAGCTATTACTAACACAGATGGTGTTGCAGGACCTGTAATCGTGTTAAGAGTGTTGTTGCACCAATTATTGGTTTCTACGCTGACACAACTACTTCAATTTCCATATACATCTATGCCGCTTTGTTTGCAGTCTTGGCATTTATAAGCACATTGTTTCCTTTAGAATCAATGGGTAAGCACGGTGTTTAAAGGTATTTCATGTCTTTGTTTTCAATTATTGTAAAGCATTTTTAATACACCTTCATAAAGTTATCCGATGTAGTGTAGTGGCTATCACAGTCCGCTCTCACCGGGCAGACCGGGGTTCGATTCCCCGTTTCGGAGTTTTTTTGGTTCCGTATTGTTCTGTAGCAGTGCTCAAAGTAAAGAATGAAAATGCCAGCTCCCTAAAAGTAAATTGAGCATGCCGACGATTATTAGATTAATCAGAATGAACGAAAAACACCCTAGGTTTAGAATACTCTAGTATTAACAATAATTAAAAAAAAAGGTATAAAAACAAATTTATACAAAACATAAGTTCCTAGCATTTAGTCTTGGCCCATATCCCTCGAGAAGTTTTACTCTACTCAGTGGACCCCGAAATAGGACATATACTTAAGCTTCATTAAAAGTCACCCTATTAAACCCTTGTAATGACCACAATCACTAACCTTCATGTAATATGGAGTTGCGGACTCCATTAAAGCTATAAGAATAGTGAAGCGAACATATATTCGATCTGGAAATGTGTTTCAGTATTTGCATAAATCAAAGAGGTATTTCAATAGGTACATTTTTATTTTTTAGTAACATTTCTTTTCTTAATTTTTATTTCAGATTTCTATTTTTTGAGACTTCATATTTTTGTAAAAAATTAAATAGAGTTTCGACGGGTTACCGTTTTAATACGATGCCCGGTCTTAGTTATGTTAGCTCCGGGAATTTGCAATTCTCCCGTTTTGACGAGAGCTTGTAAAATAGATGAACCATATTGGGCACCCACAGTGTATATCTCATCAAATTTACCGAAGTCTAAAGTAGCATAGTCATCAATCGGAGGTCTAAGATACATTACACCGGGGCTATCCTTGGCCCTGTTTAAAGCACCTACCGAACTGACATAAGCTAATCTAGCTTGAATTTCAGCTAAAGAGGGAATATTAGGTTGTCTAGAAAAGAAATTCCATCTGTTAAATAAAACCCAAAGTCCTGATAAAGAATCACCGTAACTCATGGGGGTTGTCTCATCAATACTACCTACATCCACTGATATAATAACGGAAGCTCCTTGAGATTTCATTTCTTCAACGGTCAAATTATCCATATATCCGCCATCCAGTAACATACTCCCATCATTATCAACCATGGGAGGTAATAAGCCAGCTAAGGACATAGAAGCCCTAATATAACGCCATGCATAACCAGAAGTATGAACCTCCATACGGGAGTGGGTAATATTAGTAGTGTTATTGTAATATTTGAGCCAAAAATCTTCAATTCTACTATCACCAAACGACTTCCAGATACCTCGATTGAATTCATGGCCTGTCGTGTAAGACGTAGCGGGATAAGTTAAATCGCAGATCATTCTCCATATACTAGCCATTCGGCCTGAAAACCGCTTCGCACGCCCATATATCTGAACCAGATCATAATCCCGTGCGTAAAGGCCACCCACAAATGATCCAATAGAGGTCCCACCCACGATGTCAATCGGGATGCCAAAATCTTCCAAGGCTTTGATAACACCAATATGAGCAATACCTCGAGCACCACCACCCCCTAAAACTAACCCTACCGCCTGACCCGAAAGAATACGGGCTAAACGATTGAAATCATTTTTGTATGATTTGTTGTGTGCCGTATAAATAATGCCTCTTCTTAATTTATATCTGGACATTAGTCCCGATTGTAGCTTTTGTACTTTACTTTTGATTAACGCCAATCGATCTGATAATACTGTTGAGATAGGGGATAGTTTAGCGTTGTCTTCATCATTAAAACTATGCAGTTGCATTTGTATATGATGATGAGAATGTACCCATACTCTATTCTTCAGCCAGAGTTTCGTCAGTCCTGGCTGGATGTACCGTTCTGAATGAACCAAGACCAATTCAGTTCTAGCTGTGGTATTCATTCCAATGACCAAACGCTCATAGTCACCTATGTCTGGGGAACTCAAAGCATCACTTACTAACAAAATACAATCGGCTTGGCTAATGCATCTTTGCGTCCATAAGGAATTAACAGAAGTGTCTGCAATAAAAATCACAGTCTGGTGTCTTTCTTCAAGGTCAGCCAAATACCCAGCCAGTTTGAGCTTACCCATTTTGGTGAACGCGTGTCTACCGAGATGAGACAAAATAGTTACTTGGTCGATAGCTACAGCATTTCTTCCAATATTCAAAAAAGCATTTAATAATTTAGATCCAAATTCATTTACAGGGATACCGGTGTTAATTGGAAGCACGGTAATAGTTCTAAAACTGTCGGAATTCATACTTTTGGTAACGAATAGATCATTTCGAGACTTCCGCGTATTACTAGAGGGAGCCGATGGTAAAATATTCTGTCTTTCTTCTACTAGTTTTTTCATTCTGGTGGCAACTAAGCTAGTAATATGCAAGGAAATAGCTGGATATTGCAGTGCTAGGCTGTCCAAGAAGGTTTTGGGAACCCTGGCCAGCTCCGTGTCACGAATTGCATGTAGCGTAGAAGGTCTCTTTCCCGAAGTTAGGACTTCTAGTTCACCAATACTCTCTCCTTGACCGTATTCACCAACAGTACGTGAATTTTTACGCTCTTTCTTTGAATGTTCAGGATGTGTAATACCAATGGATTGACTTCCAGGAGTTGAAGATGGTGACGGCTCGATAGTTGAAACCACTTCTCTAGCTCTACCATTTAATACAATATATATAGCTTCGGAAACATCACCTTGGTTATAAATAGTGTCACCAGCTGGAGCCTGCACCCACTCCAGTGCGAAATCCAAATAATAGATAAAACTGGGAAGAATATTAGTCAGTGATTTGGCAATATTCAAATAAATAAGCGGAAATCTTTCAGCCATATGCTCGAAGGAAGAACGTGGCAAGAATCCAAGATAGACATCTGTTTTAGCTTTAATATCCACAAAAGATTTATAGCCCAATATTGAGCCAATATAGCCACCTATCCCACCCGGCTTAACCTGGTATAGTTCCTTATACTGACCGCTGCTATTAGAATGGCCAACTTCTAAAATACCATCAATGACATAAAATAAACCAGAACAAGTCTCATTTTGATTTATCAAAACACTATCTTTCTTGTAGAAGATGACATCTACCTGGTTAATTACAGTTTCCTGAACTTGAGCAATGGTGTTTAAAGTTGAATTTGTATCCAGCTGATCGATAGTAGCCTTGCTATGAGGTGGTAATACGCCAGTCCTAACTTTGGTGGTTTTAAGAGGTTTTAGCGAGCTAGGGCCAGATTTCTTTTCAGGCCTTTCAATCCGACGGTGGCTCTCAGGCAAGTATAATGATTCCAATGATGTACTACGTGAGCTTTCAGAAAGATTTTCGCTATCAGGAGACAATTCCTGTGATGGTATATTTTCTAATAATGATAAACCTAACCCATACTTACCAGGGCTCGTAATATTCCCCACGGTGTTGTCATCTTTATCTAAACCAAGAAACTTAAACATACATTCAATAATCCCTGTACGCAATGCTGCTTCTTCAGTTTCATCATCACCAGCAAAATAATTGGCTGTAGAGCCAGTTCGATTGAGTGAAGGCCTCGAGAAAGACTCTTTTTCGACATAACGTGATAAGGGAACATTAGATAGCAAATCACCTGGGTGGTTGATCTTGGGCCGAAGGATTACCTGTCTGGATCGCTTACGATTAATATTGGAATAGATCGCATCACGTCGCTTTCTAAGTGTCTTGGAAATTAGGGAGGTCGCACCAGTATTTGAAGTACAGGATTCTTTGGTTTCCTTGTCTAAAAGATTTAGCGCAAAATTTTTCAAATAAGGAGGCAATTTGTATGAACCTTTTTTGTTCAGTGCGACTTCGGTTTGAAAGATTTCATATGTAAGTCCCAAGTAACTATGCGCTGTTTGGAAGGTCACTCTTTGGAACCTCGTCAAGATAATCTGAACAATCTGTGAGACTGACTTGGGGTGCTCGCGAGTGAGCCGTTTGAAGGCCTTGGCAGGAATCACAGCAATTGTAGTCTCAGTGTCAGCTTTGATCAGAATTTGCGAGTAATCTGCCTTTGTACTGAAAAAAGAGCAGTTAGATCCAGGGTCTTGATTGAAGTAAGATTTTTGACTCAAATTGTCATTGTAAAGCGCATCGTAATTAGCAAAAGAATTAGATCGAGAAGGAGTTTTATTTTTAATATCTTCGGTAAAAAGAGAAAGTATAGTAAATAATGACGATAAAGGTGCGCCATCACTGATTTCAGTCAGTAACTGATACTTTTCACCATCGACATCTAGAATAGTGTCCTCGGAAGAATAGCCCGCATTGGAATGAAAATTATTAGCACCTAAGGCGCCTAATTTTATGAAAACACTAACTGAACCTTCAATAACAATAGAAAATCCCTTATCTTCTCTCAATGGGGCCACCTCACCTGCCGATAATTTGCAAGTTTTGACTCGTTTAGTCAACTCTTGGAATACTGATCGGTCCAGGTAGCCAAATACCTTAATTGCACTCAAGAACTGATCCAAATAATTAGTATATCCTGACTTATCCTGAGACTTCTCCTTGGTAACAAAGATTTCCACCTCAGGTTCCTGACGGTGCGGCTCAGAAGGTAATCGCGAATAGATTGTCAAATAACGGTAACGAACTACGGTCCAAACAACAGCTATAAGAACAGCTATAAGCAACAATCTAGAATATTAGAATAAAGACAGTATAAACAATGATAAAAATTCATAGTTGTGAAAATAATGGTTAGTCATGTAGTAATTCTTCAAAACAGTCAGCAAATTCAGAATTTATGTATTGCTATGAAGTATGCATAGATACTCCCCCGGGGCAACCTAACTTATAGTATGGTTGGAAAGCAAAACACTGTAAACTTACAACGATGAGAATTTGAGCGAAATATTCACGCTTTTACCCAACAGCGAGATGAAGAATGAAGAAAAATGTAGCATTAAAAATCCTATTAATTTGAGGAATAACGCTGAAATATGCCATAAATAGTTCGACAGCCAGGAATACGTTGGAAGGGCTTGTGGTGCTTGAGTTGAAACTGGGGTCTCGGCGGTAGCAGTATTAAGAACGGCAAGAACCGCCGAGGCGGTCGAGAGAAGTTTCTCGGTAGTT